TGCCAGCTCCAGGGCTGCAGAATAAAGCTAAAATGAGAGCTTGGCCGGCGGCTGAAATGTGGGCAGCACACCAGGACGGGTTCATGTGGCAAGACTGGAGCCAGTGGCCCATTTGGGATTAGAGGAGACGGTTCCAGAGTCTCGGGGGTTGTGTCTAGACTTGACAAGAGGTAAACAGCAGACAAAACACGGGAGCCAAGGAAGGCTACCTGAACTCGTGCTCTGAATATCAGAGATTGGAAGTGATGCCCCCGAGAGCATAATTTCATCATCGATCTCAAAGACAGGGCTTTTTAAGGCTGGCGTTTGGCAGAGGGGACTTAGCATGACAGCAAGGGACAATCGTCTCAGAGTCTTCAAGTTCCTTTCACTTCTACTCTTTGACTAAAGTATAAATATTTAAAACCTCATTTTTGCTTCTCCTACCTGGAAAATATTACTCATGCTAATTTTAAAATAAAGATGCATAGATCTGAGTTATGAAAAAAATCTCTCTAAATCAAAACTCTCTGTGTAACAAAAAGATCTCCGGGTCTGGAAGTAGTGCCTAGCATGTCGGAATCCCCCTATAAAATAAGAAAGGGAACTGCTCAGTGGGGTTTATTAAAATACCCATATCAAGTAAAATCACAAATGTGTACTTAGTGGTAATTATGATTACAGAGACACAAAAAATTTAAAACTACATGGACGTATATGATTATATGGAATTAAAAGCCACGTTATAAAATTCAAGTCACCGGAAGACACTAAGATAGAAAGAAGCTGTACAAACAACATGGGAACCATTGCTGGGCAGTGAGGGACCGTCTCGGGTCAGGGCTGAGATTTTCTAGCTTTGTGGCCTTGGCCAAAAGATGTCAGCCATGGAGCCTCTACTTTCTCAACTATAAGTGGGGATAATACTTTCTGATAGGGTTGTTATAATGAAGTGACTCAGCACACAGCGTGGCATATGGCAGCAGTAATGAATGATGAATGATAATAATGTGGTCATAGTAATTCTACGTGTAATAATGACAGATAGAGACTTAATGTGAAAAATAAAGGGCTCTTGCAAATCGCCAAGGATATGAGAATCCCTAAAAAATGAGCAAAAGAGTTCACAGTTCACAGAAGTGGAAATAAAAGTAAATGAATGGAATCAATGACTGTTAGAGGGAAAAAACCCTGCTTTGCTTACTGCACTCACTGAGAACAAAGTACAAAGTAAAGCAAATATCAAATGCCATTATAACAACACAGATGCTGGAGAGACTTCCGTTAACTAAGAATATCCAGGAATTCCTGATGGGAGCGCAAATTTGATTATTTTGGAAGAGAATTTGGTAACTGTTATCAAGAACCATAATATTCTGCACTTCGATCCCATAATTCTGTTCCTGAGAATGAAATAATTTAAATCAAGAGAAAGCTATACTTGTAATGAGGCATGTAGGTAGGATTGTAAGAATAAAAAAAAATCCAATAATATAGCAATGGTTACTTTGTCATAGAATACTGTCTCTATAACATATGACATGGTAATTAAAAATGACAGAAAGTAAACGGAATAGAGTGTATTTTTATAGAATAGTGTCAAGTAGGATACAATATATTGAAATAACTGAAAATATGTAAAAAATAATGTATAAATATATATGTATACAGATGAAAGGAAGCTATAAAGAAATGCAATTCATTTTATATCAGTAAAGGGGTTTGGATATAATTATCTGTGTACTGTTTTATTACTAAATATCCTAAAATATATGTGACTAATTATCATAATTTCTCCACATTATCTGTTCTGAATCTGTAACTTCTCATGATTCCTTTTGGATTGACCTATATTAGGGTATAAAAATCCCAGTTTGGGGGTTCAGGTAAGACACGAGCCAGCTACATCCTCTTTGGTTCATTTTCTGACTCGATTTAGAAATATTGCCTGAGCACGTGTATGTGTGTCTCTAAGGAAAACTTTATTCCTCAAGATTCGCACGTGGCTCCGTCATACTCTCTTTCACATTGTTATAAGAAGTCCAACCTTTTAATCTGCCAAATCATTCTGTATTGTACCTCAAGTCAGTTTCAAAAGTCACTGGGTTTTTCAATCAGAGAAGGAAAAGTTAATTAGGAAAGTACCAAATAACTAAAAGAACATCATACCTGACGGAACTAGCCAGATAGGAATGCTTGGTCATTCACCTGTTTTGTGGTTTTTAAGGATCCCCCTAAGTTTCATAAATGACAAAAACCCTTTCTCAAAGCTACAGATCAGCCCCTACATATGCATGTGAAGAGAAGCTATTTTTGTCTCTGGGTTCCAGTTACATAGCCATGGCCTGGAAGCTTTGTTCTCAGAATTCATGCTGTCATCAAAAGGACTCAATAGGAATACAGCAGTGGGCTGGCCAGTGGCTTAGCTGTGACCGCAGCTGCAAACTCTCCTGTCATGTGAAAAACTCCGGGCTTTTTCTGGCCTGGAATGTCTGTTGGCCACGCCTTCTCTTGCCTTTCCTTCCCCTGGAATCCTGTCCGTTCTTACCAGCATGTCCCCACATCGTCCCAGATCACCTACCTCCACGCCATCTCCGTAGCAGTTGTGGGCTGGCTCTTGCTGTTTTCACACTCACATGGTAATCTTTATGTAGCACTGACGGGAACTTGTGTGTCCCCTTCACCAGAGGAGACCCGTCTCTAGTCCATGGTGCTACCATAGTGTCCGGCCCACAGAATCTCAGGGGATCTTAATGTGTGGTCCATGGAGAGAGTTTAGGGGGTCCATGAAGGCCCTGAAGTCGTGGGAAAAGTTTGTGCACATGTCAGGCAGACAATGTTGTGGCCTCCCAACAGGGGTTGCTCACTTCTTCTGTCCTAGGAGGCCCCCTGTGGTTTGTGCCAATCCTGGAGGTCTCCTTCCACTGTCCGGCAACTGATGTAGGTTTTGGCACCTCACCTTCCAAACCAGTGGGATCCGATGGGAAGTTGGCCAGGAACTTCTGGGAAAGAGGGTCCTTACTAGTGAGGGGTGGGGGACATGAGAGGGAGGCTCCTGCTCCTCATTGGACATCCTCAGGATGTGACAAGAGGCAGAGTCGGAAGTTGGGAGGCACCTGGGACCTTTAGATGTGACCAAACACTGCCTTCACCAGCCCCGATTGGTTGACTTTGAGCTTGTTATGTGATACAATAAATGTCCTATTTCTTAAGGCACTTTTAACTGAATTTTCTCTATTTTTGTAGCTGATAAACTTAATATGAATGCAGTTGTTTAGAGTTTTCATTACATGATGAAATGAATCTGAGTGTCCCCCGCTTGCCAAGGTTATGGATCTCTGTAGAACGTGCTCAGTAGATGCTGATTGATCAATTGACTGACAGACTGAAGGGCAGAGAAACCCTGGAGATGCCTCTGAGGAATCCAGGGGCCATGGGAATTTGCCAAGCCTGTTTAGAGGAGGCTGCTATCTGGAATGCGTTGTTTCCATCCCGAAGGCCACTGCTCAGCGCTGCCAGGCCAGGGAGGAGGAGGAGAGAGGCCTAGAAGCTGGAGCAAGCAGGTTCTTGGGGTGTGGTACAGAGGGAGGTGCCTGAGAGAAGCCGCTGCCGGCTCCTGGCTTGGGTACCACTTCACTGGTGGATGGACGTGAGTTGAGTCCTCCTCATCAAGAGCAAGGGGTCAAATAGGTTTCAACTTACAGGCCCACTCTGATTTGTACTGTTGAGAGGGATTCTGAAGCTGTGTCTAACTTTAGCCTTGGTTATTCCTTAAGTCTCCCAAGGACACAAATGAAAGGAATCAATGCATTCATGTTACTTATTAGTCCGCTCTGTCTAGGGTCTGATTCTAGATTGGGAAACTCAGGGAGCCCCTCTAAAGTGGAGACTATCAAAAGTGGGTTCACACTTAAGGCCCGCCTCCCTTTGATACACTTCTCTGTTTAAAAACCATCTGAATCTGAGGCCACGGGTCTTGGAGAAAGCAGGTGAAGGGGCTATTCTTAAGCCACTTTGGACATAAATCCATTAACCGGTATCAGGTTTATCACTGATTCTCGGTAAAGGTGTTTCCATCTATGCCTGGAGCAGCCTCTTCCTCAGATGGCAGTGGGCAAACTCTGGCATGTCCCCTTTTTCCAGAGTGTATGGAGAAGAGTGAGACCTTCTGTCCAGCTGCCTCTGCTTGGATGTCACTTCCCTAAGCCTGGTGCAGAGTCAGGCGCGCTGAGACTGGCTTTCATCCCGGCCAGCGCATCCTCTGTGGAGGGGCCTTTGGTAAGTCTCTCTGGGCCCAGCAGCCCGGAGGCAGGATGAAGGGGTGTCTGCTCTGATGCTGTGCAGCCCATGGCTCTGGTTAGGGTGCTGGTCCCCCAGTCACAGCCAGCTCTGCGGTGCTCTCTGCTCACCGAACTCGGTGGGATGTGCGCGGGGACTGAGGTTAACCACATCCGAGCGGGAGAGCACAGGGTACAGAGACTGGGAGGAGAGGCCTGCTCAGCTCAGCAGGGTTCGCGGGAGGCTCTACCTGGCCACCCGGGAGAGGAGAGGACAGGGCCCTCCACCAGAAGGGGTGGCCTAGGCGAGGGCCTGGGACAGGACGTGGGGCCTGCTTGGGTCCAGGTGACCGAGAGCTTCTGTCTCCTGGGCTGGAATATTTCTTCTACTCTGATGGGGAGACGTAGGGAAGGCGCTGGGGTGGGAAGATGATTGATGGAAATGAGGTTGTAGGAAGACTCCTCTGCTGCGGGAGGGAAAGGAAGGGGGGCCCAGAGGCAGGGAGAACCATCTGGAGGGTGTGGGGCTCGGGCTCGAGGGCCCGGGTTGTACAGAGAGCGCCTAGAGAAAGCCACAGGTGTCCTCCTCCCCTTCCCTCCCACCTTCCTTTCCTTCCTCTCTTTCCCCTGCTTGCCTCCCTTCCCCCTCTCTCCTCTCCCTACCCCCTTTCCCCCCTCCCCCGTCCTTGTCCTCCCCTCCATGTGCCTCCCCTCCCCTCTCCTGCTCTCTTACTTATTTTCCCCTCCCTCTTCTCCTCCCCTCCCCTCTCCCAGGTAGTGACAGGGACATGTATGGCATTCCCCATGCTGTAGACTGTGCCTCCTTCACCCGGCCCCCCTTGAATGATGGATCCCCCCCACGGTCCTGGATCTAGGAGCCGGGGGTGAGGGAGGGCCTGAAGCTTTGCTTGAAGCGAAGCAGATGGTGCTCTTGGCTCAACGGAGGTGGCCGAAGGACATGACCTTCCTCCGGCTTTTCTTCTGGAAAGGAAGTCTTTGGAAGTTTGTGGCAACTGAATAAATCTTGTCCCTTTGATAAGCAGGGTCCCGTTCAGCTCCCTATGTGGAGAAAGCTCCACACTTCCTCTGATTGTTCCCGTTTATTGAATTTCAGTGTGTGAGACATGATAACCTCGTTCCTGGGGAGTTCAGAGAGGAAGTGGAGGGGCTGGCCTGGCTTACGCCGGACAGCGCATGAGGAGCAGCGCAGGCCGGGTTATTCTTGGAAGTTATTTTGATCTGCTGGGCCCCGATCAGCTCATGTTTCTGTGCCCAGCCTAGGGCCACGTAATGGGAGAATGAGGTGTTTCATTATAATAATAGACTCAGAGCTCATGGGGGCGGCGGCTCTTTGAGGGTATTGGGACCCCGTTGGCTGGGCGTCCCTTGTCCCTCCCAAGCACCCTTGGTGCCATCCAAGGGAAAGTGCCCCTGCTGGGGCCTGGTGGGAGCAGAGGAGGCGGGGAGAGAGCGGGGCTGCGCTGCTTCTGGAGGCTCCCCGGGAACTAAAGCTTCCTCTGCCTGCTCTAGGGAGCAGAAGTGACTCACGAGGAGACTGACTCATGAGATCAATGGGCGGGAGAGCTGGGGAGGCAGCTTTCAGCTTAATGTAAGGAAGAATGTTCTGCTAATTAAAGCTGTTTATGAAATGAAACTTACTGCCCTGTGAAATAGGAGCTCCTGACACGTGAGAGCTTATACCCCGTCTCTCAGGAGCCTCCCACCCAGGCCCCGTTTTTCTATATAGATTTTTAAATTTAAGTAATTTCTCCTTCTTATGGCTGTTGTGTTACTTTGCTAGGGCTGCGGGAACGATGTAGCACAGACTGGGGGCTCAAAGCACAGCAATTTATCATCTCACAGTTCTGGAGGCTGGAAGTCCAAGATCGAGGTGTGGGCAGGGTCGGTTCCCGCTGAAGATGTGAGGGAGAATCTGTTCTTGCCTCTCCCCTGGCTCCCGGTGGGTTGCTGGCAGTCTTTGGCATTCCTTGGCTTGTGGAAGCATGACTCCAATCTCTGCCTTCATCTTCACGTGGCGTTCTCCCTGTGTGTGTGTCTCTATGTCCAAATTTCCCCTTTTTAGAAGGACACCAGTGATACTGGATTAGGGCCCCCTCTGCTCCAGTATGACCTCATCCTGACTTAACTAATCACATCTGCAATGACCCGATTTCCCAATAAGCTCACATTCTGAGGTACTGAGGGTCAGGACTTCAACATATGCATTGTAGAAACTTAGAAAATAGAGATAAGCCAAAACAGAAAGAAGTAAAAACTTTCCTGTCTCTACCCCTTGGAGACCACCACGATGGATATCTTAGAGCATGTTCTTCTGAAAACAATATATATTAAAATGAGACAAAATGTACACACTGTTTTTTACTTGCTTTATTCAATGATCTCTGCCTCTTTATTTCTCCTCATCTAACACCTAGTCTGTGTTCAAACTGTGTGCTCTGTACAGTGGCTTTGTTCAAACCAGCAACCAATCCATGGCCATTAATTTTAGCCGAAGTCCCTTAAGTCTCTTTAATCTATCGCTCTCCCTTTTTATGACATTGACTTATTTGGGGCCAGTTATGCTGCATCATGTCTCCCCTCCTGGATTTGTCTGTGCTGCTTGGTGAAGTTGTTTAGCTTGCTCCTCTCTCCCCTGTGGTGCCTGTGAACTGGGGCTCATGTTGGACGTCTGATGGACTCCAGTTAAGTGTTTTGGGGTAGAAAGCGTTGCAGGAACTTCTGAGTGCCTCATGTCAGACAGCATGCAACATCTGGTGGATCCACGTCAGGCCTTTGCCAGGTGTGGGGATGGTGGCTGGGGTTCGTGCATTGGGTGGGAAGTGGCACCTGATGACCTCAAATGCTCCTCAGAGCAGTGAGGTTTTCGAAACCTGAACAATTCTGAGAGTTGAGACAGGAACTCGCCCTTTCTGGTGGCAGCGGGCACTGGGAGAGGAAGTGTGGCAGGGCCTGCTGAGCCAGCCTGATTGCTGCCCCTCGGGGGTCGCAAGGATCCAAGACTTCCAGTTCTTAGAAGTCCTGTCCTTGGGTTCCCGACACTGTGCCCACTATTGTGGGGTGATGGAGACGTGCTTTCCCACCAGCCCCCTGCCTCCTCCGTGATGGTCCACCTCCCACGCTGCTGTGAGGTGGGGCCTTGGCGTACTTCCACTTCCCTCCTAGACCATTTCCAGGAAGAACCATAACTCTTTCCCTCCAACATTTTACAGTGTTTTCTTTCTCTAGGGGAACAAATCTACAATGAAACACAGATTTTGTATGTATATTTGCTGATTTCTTGACTAATGCATACACTTGTATAACCGAAACCTGTCTCAAGATATAGAACATTCTCGTCACCCATAAAGTTCCCGTGTGCCCCTTTGCAGTCGGTCCCAGCCCACCCAGAGGTAACCACCGTTTCAGCTTTTTCTGCTATAGATGAGTTTGCCTGTTCTGGAACTCCATGTTAATAGAATCGACAGCATATTCTCTTATAGTCAGTAGAGTCCTGGGTTTCTTCCACGGTGGTGCAGGTGTCAGCAGTTCATTGTTGTGTTTCCTGAGTTGTACTGTATTGTATGAATGTGTGTTTATCTATTCTCCTAATGATGGACACTTGGGCTATTTCCAGTTCTTTGATATTATAAATAAAGCTCTATGAACATTCTTGTACAAATAATTTTGTGTACAAATGTTTTCGTTTCTCTTGGGTAAATATCCAGGAGTGAAATTAATGGGTCATAAAGTGGTTGTAGCATTTACCCTCCTATCAATAATGCATGGGAGTTCTGGTATCACCAGCCTTTTTATTTTTTGCCACTCTGCTGGGTGTGCCGTGGTATTTCAGTGTGGTTCTTTAATTTGCATTTCCCTAATGATTTATGATAATGAGAACTTTTTTGCATGCTTATTGGTCATTTGTGTATATTCTTTTGTGACTGTAACTTTTTAAAATTAATATTTATTTCTCTCCATTAATAAGCACTATAACTATTGTTGAACTTATTCAAATAGGCATCCAGCACATCAATTGAATTTCTTGCTCATCCTTCAGTGAAGACTATCAAAGATCCGTGGATAGGAGGTGATCTTTGAGAAGAAGCAGAATGATATGTTTTCATCTTGTTATTCCTGATTCCCATTCTCTGGGTTTCTGGTAAGTCCCTCATTAGCAGGTGGACTTCTCATGCATCAGGGGATGGGCGGGGTTGGGAGTAGGGAAAAGGCAGAAAAGACCCTTTCGCCCTAAAGAGTTCACCTTATGGGGCTTGGTGGGGAAGGAAGTGGAAGGGCAGAGACTGCAGCTGAGAAGAGGGAAGAAATGAGGCACAGCCTCTGGGATCGGATCTTTGCCCACTGGAGAATCATGACGTCAAGGAGTTTCAGGTGGACTGAATCTTGTTCTTCAAAGTAACCTCTGATACCCTCCTTGGCAGAGGTTCCTTTGATCTAGCTCAGAGGGTTTACAAGAGAACAACTCAGAGTCCCAGGTAACCACCGGGAGCTCACATCCCTGCCCAGCACAGCATGGCCCTGTGTCTCCTCTCATTTTATCAGCCCTCATTCTTGTCCTCTCAGTGCTCCCCCCCGCTCCCACTCATGTGCCCCCTTCATTTACAGTGACTCATTTCGTTGTGGGAGGACTTTACTGGTCTATTTCTGGGGACCTATGAGCCACCCAGGAATTTCACTGGAAGACCTTAGAATAGGCCACAGAGAAGGAAAAAGAGGAAAAGAAGAGAAAAGCAAGCTGGAATGGGAAAAGGGGCAGAGAGAAGCGGTGATGGAGGGAAAGGAGGGGAGGAATTCACAGCTATGGCAGCTCCAGCCCCCAGCCGTCTGCTCCTGCCTCTGAGTGAGATGCTCCCTGAGGGGTCGAGAGAAAAGTGAGGCTGAGGACCCTCCACCCTCTGGAGACTCCACGTTACCTCTAAGTGTGGGTTTAAAACACATCTGGCCAAAAATGACCAACGAATGAATGGATATTATGAAAATATGTACTTATAATCCAGAGAGAGCTCTTGCAACAAAGCCTTGTCTTATATGGTGGGGATCCGCGTTACAAAGATATCCTCCCCTTCCGGGTTGTTCTCATCTGTGATGGGCTCAAACTGTTCTCCTTATTCCTATAGAATAAGCTGCTGTCACCCCCTCCCCTTACTTGAACTTGAAACTGCTCCCCCAAAGCAGCAGTTGCAATCTTTTAAGATTTATGAGAGAAAATAAGTTGGGAAATTCAGGGACAATAACAAGGAGGATGGGAAGCCACTCGTTGTGACAGGCCCAGCGTGGGGCCCTGCCCTGGGAGATCACTAAGACGAGGCCAGCCCCTTGGGTGTGCCTGCAGCAGGCCAGAAAGGATTAGAGGGAAGAGGAGAAGAAAGACTGATGGATAAGAAAGTGCAGCTCAAGAAAAGACAAAAACAGCTTCTTTTCGTGACTGCCATGGCAAGTTCTCCTTCCAGCAGAGAGGAGCTGTGAGAAAGTGTCTGAGCCCCGGCCCCTTTCAGGCTCAGTGAAAGCAGCCATTGGCAGCGGTGCCCCCAGGAGCCTGGGAGGGCCGCAGGCTGGCACAGGATGTGCTCACTCTGGGATGGCACATTCCCAGGCCCCCACACACAACCTTGGGTCAAGTCCCATTTCCTCCCCTAGAAAAGCTTTAGGCCAGCGAGGGAGGCAGGGACCTCAGCGTCCTTGGGGGACAAGCTCCCTCCCCTGCAGAGTGGCCCAGATTGGAGTCCCTTTGGTTTTATTTACTCCCTTCCAAAGGCCCGTGGAGGGGCCGCAAGTGCTGCGTGGGAGAAGGAGTACATTACTCCCTAGCATGTACAGATTAGAATCCCAGAGTCTAATAATTGGAAGGAACTTTAGAGTCAAGATCCAGCCCTAGCACCTCATTTTACAGAAGGAGAAACTGAGGCCCAGAGGATTTAGGTAACGTGGCCAAGAGCTCTCAGGGTTTGGTGGCAGAGCCCAGTCGGAACCTGGCCTCCTGAATTCCTGCTCAGAGCAGGTCCCTTGTGCCCCCCGGAAGGGAAAAGGAGACGGAGACGGAAGTGAGGGCAGTTTCTGAACCATTAGAGGTGCCGTGCTGGCCTGAACCCCACAAGGGAAGTCGTGGTTAGATCAGGATCTGGGGGTGGGGTGAAGGCGCCAGGAGGGGATGCACAATGTGGGGGGGTGGGGGATGGGGAGCAGGGGGTAAGACCTCCTTTCTACCTTGGTGCTTCCACCTTTGGATCAACTGCTCTTTACAGTTTTCTTAATTTCGTGAAGGATTTAATTTTATTGTACGGACTCATAGAATGTTAGGCTTGTAAGGGACTTCTGAGTTTCTGTGGGCCGACTTCCTGCCCAGTGTGGGAACCCCCTCTGACCCTGTCTGATGGTCATGACCCTTCTTGAAGTTTCCAAAGTGGGGGCAAGTCTCTACCTTCTGGGGCAGCTGGTCAGCTTTGAGTCCAGCTTAAATATCTCAGGGGCCTTGGGCGTTCACCCAAACCTTCAGCTCGAGGGTCGGACTTTGTTCTCCGAGCCGGCTGTGCAGAGCGAGCCTCAGCTCACCGGGCTTCCCTCAGGTATGCTCCAGGCCGTGTGTGGTGGAAAGAGTGAGGCCCTGGGAGTCACACAGCACCGGGCCGCGCTCTAGGCTTCACTGTTTCCCAGCTGTGTGACTGTGGACCAGATATTTAACTTCTCTGAAAGCCAGTTTCCTCCTCTGTTAAGATGGAAGTGGGGTTGTTGTGAGTTTTAGCAGTAATCTCTAGGAAGTGCTGGGTGCTCAAGGGCTCTTGGCCACACCTTGTCCTCCAGTCACCCTTGTCCAGGCCGCACGTCCTGGTTCCTTCGGGTTCTTGATGTCATTTATGACACTTCTCCCCCTGCACTGGGGCAGAGGCGCAGTGAGCAGCAGGGGGCACAAACTTGGCTAAAGTGAAAAAAGGAGAGCATGCAAAGCCTGGACCCCTGATTGCAAAGGAGCCTTGAATGATGGAGCAATGGTTGTGCCCTGTCGATAAGGAGCCAGAATCAACACAGAAGCACAGACCCCATGAATCCCCCTGCTTCCTTCCCCTGCCTGAAGGTCCCAAGTCAGCAGGGAGTCCTCCACACCTGGAACTGTCCATTTCTGGAGAGGGGAGGAAACGTCAGGCTTGCTTGTGAAGAGCATCTCATCCTGAGTCCAACAGGAGGAAACCAATCTCTCAGCCCTCTCCTCCAAGCCAAGGACAAATGACGTTCCCAACACACGTGCATGAAGCCAGGGGGATTAATTGTGTAGCGCTGAAGGAAAATTACAACTTTCCTAAGAAGCTTAAAATACACAAATTAAATCTCGTCTGTGATTAAATCCTGGCTACTTCTCATCCTGGTTTATGTCTGTGGTTCTTGGGAAATTAAAAAGTGTTTGCCCAACCACTGACTATCGATCAAGTTTTAAAGACTAAGAGGCACGGAGAGCTCTCGGAAAGAAGAACGTGACGTAAGACTGTGGGGTTCACAGAAGAAAGCCAACGTGACATGGTGGTGCTGAAGAGTGGGGAGGTGTTTGTGAATAAAAGGAGGCCACCCATCTCTGTAGGCTGAACTGAGCTGAGCTGACATTGTCACTAATAAAATGCTGAGGAAACATTTTAATGCAATAGGCTATGTTCACTGGGGCTAAAAATAAATGCTTTCTGGTATTCTGTAGTAACACCGAAAATGACTTCACAGGTGTGAAACGTGGAGAAGAATTTAGTTGCATGTCTTGGTTTTTTCAGCCATAAGCAAAAAGGCCTCCCCTTGTGTGGTGTCCTCTCTTGTCAGTGATGTAACACCCATACAACGTTGAACAGAACACACGACTGATCACATGTTGTTTCATCATAAATGGCCACGTGTTCTGAGATCAGTGTCTGGGATTTCAGTGTATGGATTTATATTCATATTTTTTGTTCTATGTTTATAAGATATTTACAGTTATATGTTCTGGATGTCTTCTATCGAAAGATTAAATCTCAACAGAGTTTTAAGTGATTTTCACAAAATACCTCATTTAATCCTCCCAATGCCTTCTGAAGTATTCTTTCCTCTCATTTTTCAAATGGGGAAACTGAGGCTCTGGGGCCAGTATTGGAAGATCAACATCGTCTACAAGGGTAGGTGGTGGAGCTATGATTTAAACCTTAACCTGAATCCCAACCAAATCCCAACTGACATCTCCCACGCTCTCCCACCCCTCGCCCCTCTCTGGGCTTAACTCTGCCTTCTAGATTGGAATTAGATCTCTTTCTTTTCAGGCCAGTCTAGACTATCTGGACAAACACACACCCCCCTCCTGGTTTTAAAAACAACCCACGGAGGTATCACAAAGCCCCTGAGATCTTGGTTCTACTTAAACAGCACCTCTGTGAACCAATGTTGGGATTCAGATTTTACTGCTTTTTGGAAAAGCAGTGGAATATGTGATTTTCCCTGAGAGAGGAGCTGATAATTCTCCTTGTTTGCAGAGAGCTGTAAATTTTCACATGCGTTATCCCATTAAGGGCCGTGACAACCCTGCGAGGTGGGGCCTCCTCTTGCTGGCCCCTCTTGCTGCTGGTGAAGGGGAGGCTCTCTAAGTGTTGTAACCGCTTTGTAGATTCTGACAGCTATTTTCCAGAGAAAGGCTTCATTCAGTCACAACTCCCAGACCTCTTGGGAGACGCTGTGGCATTCGTTAGATGTGTGGCCTTTGCTGCATTAGTGACGTTATAAGATATTTAAGCAAATCCAAAGACTCAGTCTGTTTCCTCCCAATGAAGCATTTTAATCAATTTTGCTGTTTGGGTCATTTTCTGTGTGTGCTGAATGAAGGAAAAAATCACTCTGGTGGGGGCTAGTTTACCCCCCCTCGACAAACCAACATCCACCAAATAGATTAGATTTGGGGCAAAGATTGTCACAGTTCAGGAATGTTCTGCAGTTGGGTTCCCTCTCAACTGAAAACATTCTTTTGATATGGAGAATTCCTATGAGGACTGTAAAAATTATGCTCATAGGACATATTTCCGCCTCTTGAATGCAGCCTACAAAAGGGTTATTAAAAATTTACCTTTTTGTCAATAAAGTTCTGTATGGGACAATTTTCTGGCTGCATTTTAATGTAGTGTTCACTGTCCCCAGATGTATGAA